CCACAAAAACTGAAGAGGCAAGCCCCAGGCCTGGCCTTTCCAGCTGGAGGCCTGCTTTCCCACGGACCGCACTGCCAGAGCCCAGCCTGGCCCCTCTGGGTGACCGCCCCACGGCTGGTTTGCCCCGGACCACTCTGCTCAGTTTGGGTGGGCACTAAATGCCTGGTGGCATCGCTAAATAAGGACAAGGGAAAACGCAGCCCACCCTTCCTTGAACACCTTCTATCTGGGCTGAACTTTCTTGGGAATGTATAAGTTAACTGGATGAAGGAGGCGGGAGGCGGAGAAAAATAAATACCAAGAACTAAAGTGAGGGTCCCAGGACCTCTGGGCAACTCAGCCCCTGGAGCAGAGACGGCCTCCAGGGAGGAGACCCTGATTATCCAAATACTGCACTGAGACTTGCTCTCCTCCACAGCCGCTTGCCCCGGGGGGCGTGAGTCTCAGGGAGAAAAGGGCCAGCCCCGCAGATACTGTCCTCTCACTCTGGCCCGACTCACAACCGGCCCCGGGCTCCTGCCCGGCTGCAAGGCTGGCCTGGCTGTCGGGAGCCCTGGGAGAAGCTGGGCCTGGCCCTCTGGGCCTGAGGACTGGCTGGCGGTCCCGCTGCTGGCTGTGCTGGGCCGGCCGCGCTCAGGCCTGCTCCTTGTCAGCCCTCCAGAGCCGCTCCTTCACCTCAGGCGGCAGCGTGTTGAACAGGTCCTCCTCCACCACCAGGCCGCTGCGCTTGAGCAGTGGGCACTCGCCCAGCTCCACGGGCAGGCACTCCAGCCGGTTGCCCCGCAGCTCGATCTGCGTCAGGTTGGTCAGCTCACCCACCCTCGAGGGCAGTGACTGCAGCACGTTGTTGCCCAGGTGTAGGGCCCGCAGCTTTCGGCACTGGAAGAGTTCCGGAGGGAGCATCTCGATCTGGCGGGCAGAAAGCAGGGGCAAGGGTGAGGTGGGTGTGGCTGGGATGGGACCTCTGGGCTTCCCTTCCCTCTCTCCACCAGATCTCAGCATCTTTTCTGATCCCCAGGCCCCCAACCCAGCACCAGCATAATCTGGGCCAAAGTCTGGCCAATATCTGCCTGTGCACCAGGTCTCAGCTCTGCAGTCACTTCCTCCAGGAAGCCTTCCCTGACCTCCTGGGTCTCATGGCTGCCACATCCCCACTCGCAGTTCTTATCCTTCCATCTGTTACCCCCTAGACACAGGCTCTAAGGATGAGACCTGCCTGGCTCGATTTCCACTGTCTTCCAGCACCTGGCACCCTCGGAAGTACATCGCACTGGCCAGCTGCTCCCACCTCCATCCCAGGGTTCACAAGGAGCCAGGCTGTTGGTTCTGCCCAGCTTAAGAACGACTTGCGGAAAGCAAAACAGCATGCTGAGAAAACCCACCCCGTTAACTCTTCCTGAGAAGTTAGGAGAGTTCAACGATGGGGGCGAGGATCCCAGCTGTGTCACTGCCCCTTCCCCGGCCCCAGTTTCCTCATCTGTTAAGTCACAGGGTGGGATGAGTACAGGGAGCTTCGTCCTGGCCATCTGGAGCTCTGCCCTCCGATTTTGCCAAACATGAACGCAGTAGTCCCCCCTTAGCTACAGTTTTGCTGTCTGTGGTTCCAGTTACCCACGATCACCTGCAGTTCAAAAATATTAAATGGAAATTCCATCCTTTTTCTTTTTTTTTTTTTTGGAGAGATGAGGTCTCACTTTGTTGCCCAGGCTGGTCTCAAACTCCTGGGTTCAAGTGATCCTCTCACCTCAGCCTCCCAAAGTGCTAGGATTATAGGAGTGAGATACTACACCCAGCCTAAATTCTGTAGGAGTCTTACTCTGTTGCCCAGGCTGGAGTGTGGTGGCACAATCACAGCTCACTGTAACCTCTGCCTGCCAGGTTCAAGCAACTCTCCTGCCTCAGCCTTCCAAGTAGCTGGGATTACAGGTGCCCACCACTACACCTGGCTAATTTTTGTATTTTTAGTAGAGACAGGGTTTCACCATGTTGCCCAGGCTGGTCTTGAACTCCTGGCCTCAGGTGATCCATCCACCTCCACCTCCCCAAGTGCTGAGATTACAGACATGAGCCACTGCACCCAGCCAATATTCCATAAGTTTTAAATTGCATGTCACTCTGAGTAGCATGATGAGATCTGTCCCATCCAGGATGCAAGTGGTCCCTTAGTCCAGCGCACCTACACTGCATCTGCTATCCATGTCGGTCATTCAGTAGCCGCATCCGTGACCAGATGGATCATCACAGTCTCACAGGGCTTATGCTCAGGCAGCCCTTACTTTACTTAGTAATGGCCTCAAAGCCTCAGCATACTGTATTTAATTTATAAGTTAAACTTTACCATAGGTATATGTGAATAGGAACGAACAGAATATACAGGGTTCTGCACTACCTGCAGTGTCAGACATCCATGGCGGACCGCATTCCCTGCAGCTGTGGAGCAACTGCTGTTAACAGACGACACCTGTATGCCGCTTAATGCATGGCAGGTTCACACTGAGCACTGATACTATTAACTTATTTAACCAGCAAACTACCTAGAAATACTCTGTCCATACTCTTCCCATTTTACAGATGGGGTAACTGAGGCCCCAAAGACACCGACTTTTCCAGAGGTTCAGCTGGTAAGTGGTGGAGCCAGGATTTCAACCTGGTTCATCAGCCCATGCACGGAGCAAGAAGCAAACAGTGGGGCCGCAGTGGGTTGGTGTTGTGTCTCCTGGCACACGGGAAGAGCCTCATGTATGCCAGCTTCTTCCTTGCCCTGCTGCGATGAATCAGCTGGGGCTGTGAGTTCTTATTGAGCCTGACTGTCCCAAAGCTGCCTCCTTCAGATGGGAGCGGGGAGGAGGGCAGGAGTTAGGAATCCTGGGCCCCAGTCCCAAGTGAGGATGATGGGGAGACTGCACAGCAGCCTTTCTGAGGTTGCTCTGTCACTGCCCCCATTTTCCTGCAAGGAGACTGAGGCTGGGAGAGATGACATGCCACTCGTCTGAGGTTGTTGCCTCTCCGAAAGGGCCACGACAGGATGTATGCCTTGCATCCTTCCTCCCACTCACAGCCCATGCTATATGCTCCTCCTGCCAAATACGACACCCAGTTACCGGGTAACCCTGGAAGTCCCCTCCCTCTCTGGGCCTCAGTTTCCCCGTCTGTAAAAGGCACAGTTTGGACTAGAAATGTCTCTGAGCTTGGACATTCAGTGGCTTAGGACCTTTTTGTAGACTTGATCTCAACCTCACAGGCACTCTTTCTGGCCATTTTTGGAGGAGGACCTCAGTTCCCGGGTAGGAACCTGGCTTTCCCAGCAGGGAAATAAGCATGACCAAGGCCCAGCAGAGTGCTTTCTTTTCGTGTGTGTGTGTGTGGGTGGGAACGGAGTCTCACTCTGTCACCCAGAGAGTGCAGTGGCGCAATCCTGGCTCACTGTAACCTCCGCCTCCCGAGTTCAAGCAATTCTCCTGCCTCAGCTTCCTGAGTAGCTAGGATTACAGGTACACGCCACCATGCCTGGCTAATTTTTGTATTGTTTATAGAGGTGGGGTATCACCATGTCGGCCAGGCTGGTCTCGAACTCCTGACCTCAGGTGATCCACCTGCCTTGACCTCCCAACATGCTGGGATGACAGGTGTGAGCCACCACGCCCGGCCTGGGTGCAGCAGGTGCTTTCAAGGAGGCTCCTGGCCTGGGGATCCTACACTGCCACCATTGTGGCCCGGGATTGGGAATGTGTCTGGGGCTGGCTTTGAGGTCACCAGGGCTGAAGGTCAGAGGGCAGACGGGAAGTGGGATCTGCGGAACCCAGGGCCCAGAACCTTCCCAGAAAGGCCCCACTCCCACCCTGTGACCTCCTCTGCTGACACACTCAGAGGTAAGGGACAGCAGGAAATCTCCGGCCAGCAAGTGGCAGAGCTTAGGTCTGCATGGAGTCTAGCTCTAGAGTCCCCTCCCTTAAAGGCTTCCTCCCCGGAACATGCCCTGCTCTGAGGCAAGGAGCCCTCTCCAGGCCCCACAGAGGAAATGGGAGGTACTTTCAGTTGCTTGGCTCCCACCACAGCCACACCCATCCTCTGGACCTATCCTTCTCTCCCGAAGTGTTGCCTGCCCCTGGAGGCTTGAAGTTGGTTCCCAATCCCTCAATTGCACCCCCTCTTACTTCCCCAGGGACTTCAATGGGTCCCCAACAGCACTGAAAGGCCTCAACTCTACCTGATCTTTGAAAAAGACAACTTTCCCAGGAGGCTTCCAGGGCCCCTCCACTATCCTTGGCTCTCTGGCCTTCCCAACCAACCACTGGAAAGCTGCTGTCTGTCTCCTCACTCCACCTGCATCACCCGGCTTCCGACCTCGTCCACCCTTAACTCTTGCCAAAATCACCAGTTCCTAACCCAGCTCTGGCCTTGCCCTCCTCTACTGCAGACTCCTGTCCTCCTCCCTCTCTGCTCTCCACAGTGACCATGTCAATGACCCCTCTTCACCCATGAGCCTGGAAAGGGTAGGGCTTCAGGTGGATTCAGTATGGTCCCCTGGACATCCCGGGCCCCAGACACCTGACATGAGACACACCTTGGCCTCTGAAAACCTGCCTGCTCCAGTCTCAACAATCCACGCAAAAGACCTCAGTCACTCAGACCACCTCCACCATCAACCCCGTCCCTTTGGATGCCCCCTCCGCCAGCGTCTTCCAGATCCGTCCACGCCTCTCCATCCCTACCAGCCATGGCCATGGCCACGCCAGGCCTCACAGCCTCACCTGATGGTTAATCACAGCCTCCTAACAGCTCTCTTCCACTCTGCCACCTCTTACCCACCCCACACACTACAGCAAGAGGAAGCTCACGTTGCAAGCCAGCTCATTCCTTCACCCACTCAATCACTAGGAATGTGGTAAACATTTGCTATTCGTCTGACTTTGAACAAAAAAGCTAGGTCTTAGTCATCAAAGCCTATGGGCTGGCAAGGGACCAGCTGTTTTTCTTTTTTTTTTTTTTTTTTTTT